CCTTTTAATATTTTTAAATGTTTTGCTCACGATTTTCATGATATAAACTCAAATAATATTGTACATAATAAAAGACAAGTTGAACCTCGATTTACGTGTAATTGAGGTTCCTTTTTGCAAAATAATCCTTAGATTGTACTAGTGTACAATCTTCTTGATAAGTGGATTAATTGTGTGATTATCCACTGTTAATTGCCAGGCGCACAAGGAGACCTTCAAGAGGATCTCACCGTGGACACTTGAACTCCCAGAAAATAATTCTTATTGAATTGCTCGGTGAGTTTCAAGTGTGTGAAATTTGATACTTGCTTATTGTGGTATTTGTTGAAAGTTTTAAAAATAAGGGCGGGTGCGTACTTTATCGTACTCGTTCTAATTTCGAATGAATGAATGAAATGTATTGAATGAATGAATGAAATGCAATGTTATGTCATGAATGCTTGTGTCGCTGGAGTGAACCTCCTCGACTTTCAAATGAATGGGGGACGCCCAAACTCATAGGCCGCCCTTAGACTTGAGCCAGCAATGGGCTTGGTCGGGGATTTGGGCGAGCCATGAGATACATATAAGCTCGGCCTAATAAGAGGTCTTGCTTGGCATACTCGTTGAGTATCGCCCAATAATGGACATTGTGGGCCCTTGGGGTGTACGGTGGACGGAGGGAAGTAAGTGGTGATCTACGGAAATGGAAATACCGACCCGGTTGACAGGAGGGTTAATGCGGGAAGGTATACGAATGTCATCGGCAGAGCGAGTGGAATTTAGCTCCTGAGAGCTACTATATCCTTGAATTGTTTCTGATTACTTTTCCTGTTTGAATAACTGATTGTTGAAAAGACGTGATTTTATTTATTAAACTTGGGATTGTTATTTGGCTAAGTGCTTGCATGTGTGTTCTTGGCCTCACGAGCGTTTAGCTCACCCTATAGTTTTGTTTTCCTTAACAGGACCGAATCTTGGAGAAATATGAAGGAACCATTCGTTGTACTTTTGTTAAGACTCCTGTTATATATTTTAACTAGGCCCTGGTTTGGGTTGTACTTTTGGAAATTGTAAACTTGAAAAGTTTGGGCCTTGATGTGTACTTTGAATTTAAGTCGTTTCATGACTACCCGATGTACTGGTGATACATTAAGTGACTTGTTAAGCTTGAACGCTTCCGCATTACTGTATTCGTGTTGATCTCATCGAAGTGTTTAGTTCGATTTTAAATTGAATGGAATTGCTTGAGTCCTGGCGTGAGTTGGGCAGGCGTCCGCGGATACCCTTTGGTCCGCCTTAGGGAGATGTGGGGCGTCACACACCCTCTCACCCGAGGAGGTTTTTGAGTTGGTCAGGTCTTTTTCCATTCCCCCCGCCTTCAAGCCGAGGGCTGCCGGGCCCAACGATCGAGCCAGCCGACCTCCCCCTGGCTTTGTAACCATCTATAGGAAGCAGCTGGTCGCAGGGCTCCGACTCCCCATTCCTCCGGTCCTAACCGAGATCCTGAGCTACTGGGGGCTCAGAATCACCCAAGTTCATCCCAACTCGATCAGGATCATCATCGGATTCTGATCTACTGCCAAATCTGCTCCATCCCCTACTCTCTTTCTCTCTTCCGAGCCTCCTACACCCTCAAGCTCTCCCTTCCTGGGTGGTTTTACTTCTCCCGCCGAACTATTAGCAAAGTTTGGGGTGGGAAGGGCACCCAGGATCTGCTCTTCGGGGTCCCCTCTTCCATAAAGAACTGGAAAGGAGACTTCTTCTTTGTTAAATCCACGCATTTTCCCCCTAATGTGTGGAAAATCGGGGAGGTCGACTCCGACCCCTATCTGGGGGACTTGGACTCCGAAACCCTCAGCCAGTTAGTGAGCTCCACGGTGAAGCTCTATGCGGCTAGGTTCTTCACCGAGCAGATATCTGCGGCCGGGCTGATGGGGACGTTGTCCGGGTCCCCTGGAGAAGTGGTGCCCTCCCCTACCGACTACGACACCTGTAATGCCGCCTCTGTGCCCCTGTAATCCGTTACTTTCTTTCTTCTTTTACTAACCCGTGTGTGCTAACCTGGTGGTGTTTGTCGCAGTGAGGAGACTTTCCAAACTGTTGGGCACGCCTTCCAATGTGGCTGCCCCTACTCCGCAGCCAGAGGCCGCCAAGAAGGCCTCTGAGGCCTCTCCGATTCCTGGGGGCAGCTTGGCCCCCTAGAAAGAAGCATCCCAATCCTCGTCCCCCTCCAAATAGGTTGCCAGCACGAAGAAAGCGACTGACCGGGCAGAAGAGGGGTCGAGGGGACGAGCCCTCCCAACCCGAGAAGAGGCTTGCGCCGTCTCCAGCACAGCCCCCTCTCCTGCTAACGTCAGGGGGCGCCCCTCATGCAGGTCCGGCCCACCTGGGGGTTGGCTCCGGGGAAGATCATGCGCGGGAAACGCCACCCCCCAGTCTGTGGCATTTTCGCCATGTGGCCCCCTTGAATCCGGGTCAGGCCCCCTCCATGCACGACCCCCGTCGTTTCTGCCCGTCCTGGGGACTCTCCATCAACGACCGAACCCAGTTTCCTGAGGTGGCTAGCGAGTTGGTAGCGGACTCGGTCCTCCCGCGTGACAGGAAGTGGATGGAGCTGGCCAGCCGGTCCGAGCTCCAGGACATGTATTACACCGCCCAGACCCAAGTAAGCTTTCTTCCACTGTTTCTGCTTTTACCTTGGGTGGGATAGGCAGTATGCTAATTTTTCTTTCCGTTCCTCAGGCGAATGCCGCTGGAGCTGCCCTGGTGACCCGCTTCTCCGAGTTGTCTCCTGACTTGGAGAAATTACAGAAGAAAAATCGGGAGATCGAGCAGAGGCTTGTCCAGGCCCTAAAGGAGACGGACTCCCTAAAGGGTAAGTTGGACAAGGCCGAGAATGAGCTGGAAGCAGTTCAACTCCAGCTCGCCTCCACCAAGTCAGAGCTGGACTAGGAGAGGACGGGCGTGGAGAAGCTGAAGGCAGACCACGCCATTGAGCTCTCCGGCACCGTAAGCCCGGAGTGCAGGAAGGCTGTTCGGGAGTTCATCTCCTCCGAACAGTTTGTTGAAGACGTCGCCCTCCTCAACCAGCCCATCCTTCAGGTCGGTTTCACGCGAGCCCTGGACCAGGTGAAGGAGCTTGGCCTGTCTGGCTTCGATTTGGCCGCGTTCAAGGACTACAACCCTGCCGCCAAGGAGAGGCTAGACTGGAACTTCGACGGGTATTGTAAGGGGCATGCCCTGAAGGATCTGGTGGGTAGGAGCGATGTGGGAGCCGAGCTGGCGGAGATTCCCCTGGAGGAGGGTGAGGCTCCCGGCAGGGCTTTCGGGAAGAAGCCAGTGGGCTAGGCTGTACTTAGCTAGGTTTTCTCTTTTTTTTTATAGCTCGGTAGGCTTTGTAATAGGTAGGTTTTGAATGTACATATGAAATTCGAATGAAATCTTGACTCACAATTTTCGCTTGCGCCGAACTCTGGTAATCAAAGCGATATGTCGACCTCCTGGGTCGAGCACCCAATTGATTCACCAAGGCAGCGTGCCGGCTTCTCGGGTCGAGCATCTATCAAACTTGAAGCTAACAACTAAATTGTTAAGGACAATAAACTGGGGCGACATCAAACTATCAAACTAAATTAGCAACCAAACTCTAATAACCAAAGCGACGTGCCAGCCTCCAGGGCCGAACACCCGATCTTAAGGCTTTAAGCTACGTCGACCTCCTGGGTCGAACGTCAAACTCTTAAACTTTAAGGACATCTCTTTCATTCATTGCCCCTCGCTAAGTGCGCTAATGTAGAATTAACAGTCAAACAGCGTGACAGTTCAAGATAAACGGTTTTGATAAACTTTGTAATGAAAGTTCGAAATCGAACATTTATTTGGCTTGACCTGGAAGCGTATTCCGAAGAACAGGCAGTAAGGTATATCAACCTAACCTAGGAACAAACGCAAGTTCGAAAAGTGCCAAGTGTGGGGTACCTCTACTCCATCTAATTTCGCAAGCTTACAGTACCCAGCCTGGCTAGCCTCCAGTACCTTGTACGGCCCCTTCCAGTTCGGATCGAGCTTGTTGGAACTATGAGCTCGACTGACTGAGTTCCTTCTTAAGACGAGATCTCTCGGCCAGTACTGCGTATTTCTCACTTTCGCGTTATGATAGCAGGTGAGTTGACTTTTATACCTAGCCATCCGTATCGCCGCTTTCTTGCGTTTGGCTTCCAGCATGTCCAAATTACACCGCAATTCCTCTTCATTGGCTGCCGCAACAAAGATCTGTGTCCGAGGTGATGGGAGGCAGATCTCTGCGGGTACCACCGCTTCTGCCCCATAAGTCAAGGAGAAAGGGGTCTCATGAGTGGCTGTCCTCGGCGTAGTTTGGTAAACCCAGAGGACACTAGGGAGTTCCTCTAGCCAGTTAGACTGGGCCAGTTCCAACCTAGTCTTCAATCCTTGCAGAATGGTCCGGTTAACGTTCTCCACTTGGCCGTTGACCTGGGGATGACCGACCGACGTGAAGTGTTGGCTGATCCCGAGCTCCCTGCACCAGCTCCTGAAGGGGTTTTCCGTGAACTGCCACGCGTTGTCAGATATCAAGACACGCGGGATCCCGAAGCGGCAGACTACGTTCTTCCAGAAGAATTTCTGAACTGCTTACCCAGAGATAGTGGCCAGAGGCTCCGTTTCCATCCATTTTGTGAAGTAGTCGATGGCCACCACGAAGTGTTCGTATCTCCCGAGAGCTCGAGGAAAAGGTCCCAGAAGGTCTATCCCTCATTGGACAAAGGGCCAAGGATTGTGGATGGGGACCATTTCCTGAGTTGGCTGGTGACGTAGCGGGGCGTGCACCTGACAAGCTCGACACCGCTGAACTAGCGCCGCGGCATCTCGAAACACTGAGGGCCAGTAGTAGCCCAGGAGCAGGCACTTTTTGGCCAACACCCGGGATCCCACATGCGCCGCACATAAGCCTTCATGAACTTCACGGAGGACGTCGTCGCCCTCCTAAGGAGTCACGCACTTTAGCCAGGGGGACAAATACGACCTCCTGTAGAGGGTGCCCCAGCGTAGGCGTACCTGGTAGCCCTGAGCTGTAGTCGACGAGCCTCGGTTTTGTCCTCGGGGAGAACACCCGAGCTGAGGAAGTCCACGAGGGGAGTCATCCAAGAGGCCGGGCTGTCTATAGCCAAGACTTGGATCTGGTCAATGCTTTTTTGCCTGACTACTTCCACCAAGACCTCCTTGTTCAGGTGAGCAAACGAGGAAGACGCCAGTTTTGACAGAGCGTCCGCGCGCTTGTTTTGTGATTTTGGCACCCGCTCGATTTCAAAAACATCAAACAGGCTTATTGTCTCCCGTACCCTAGCCAAGTATTTTTTTATGATGTCCTCCTTGGCCTCGTACTCTCCGCGAACTTGGTGGACTACGAGTTGGGAGTCACTCCGGGTTTTGATAGCGGTTATACCCATCTGGTGGGCTATCCGCAATCCGATCAATAGGGTCTCGTATTTCGTCTCATTGTTAGATGCCAGGAAGTCAAATCTGAGCGCGTAGGTCAGCTCTTCCCTGGTGGGTGAGGTGAGCAGTAGGTCGGCTCCGCTCCCTTCCTTGCTCAAGGCCCCATCCACGAATAGTACCCACGGCTCTTCCGCCCGTTCCTCCTTGGACAAAGAGCTCGGCTCAGCCATGGACAAACTGGCTCCCTCAGCAAGGAAGTCTGCCAGGACCTGAGATTTGATAGCGGTGTGAGACTGATAGCCGATGTCTGTTCAGCCAGTTCGACGGCTCACTTGGTCATCCTGCCTGAGACCTCAGGCTTTGTAAGTATCTGTCGTAAGGGCAGATCAGTCATGACAATAATGCTGTGGGTCTGGAAGTAAGGTCGGAGTTTCCGGGAGGCATGCACCAGGGCAAAGACCAATTTTTCTGCCGGTGTGTACCGTATTTCCGGCCCTTGCAAAGCACGGCTGACGTAGTATATTGGCCTCCGAATCCCTCTGTCCTCCCGTACCAAAACCGCGCTAATGGCCTCGCTGCAAGCACACAAGTATAGGAACAGGGTTTCTCCTTGCTCCGGGGCGGTCAAAGTGGGCAGCTCAGCCAGATATGCTTTCAGGTCGGCGAAGGCTCTTTGGCATTTCTCAGTCTATCGGAAGTCCTTAGGTGCTTTTACGATTCGGAAGAAGGGTAGCCCCCTCACTGCGGAACGCGGGAGGAACCTACTCAGGGCGACTATCTTCCCGTGAGCCGTTGGACCTCCTTTACGTTCCTCGGAGGGGCCATGTCTATGATGGCCTGGAGCTTATCCGAGTTGGCTCGGATATCTTCTCGGGACACCAAGAAGCCTAGGAACCTTCCCGACCTAACCCCGAAGGTGCATTTCTTCGGGTTCAACCGCATCCGGCTCTCCCACAGGATATCCAAGATCTCCCTCAGGTCGGAAACGAGCCGTTGGTCAGTTCGGCTCTTGACGATCATATCGTCCACGTACACCTCCATACTCTTGCCGATCTGATTTTGGAATAACTTGTTGACCAGGCACTGGTAGGTAGCCCCAGCATTTTTTAGCCCAAATGGCATTGTCCGATAGCAGTAAGTCCCTTCCTCAGTGATGAAGGAAGTCTTTTCCCGATTTTTATCGACCATCTTATCTAGTGGTATCCCTTGAAGGCATCCAGTAAACACAAAACGTCAAAACCTACAGTAGAATCTACTAACCTGTCGATCCTTGGCAAGGTGAAGCACTCCTTTGGGCAGGCCTTATTGAGATCTGTGAAATCCACGCACATCCTCCAAGACTGGTCCTCCTTCTTCACCAGGACCGGGTTGGCTAACCAGGTCGGGTAATGTATCTCCAGGATGATTTTGGATTCCAGCAGCTTGCCGACCTCCTTCTTGATCACCTCATTCCTCTCCGGGGCGAAACTCCGCTTCTTCTGCTTCACTGGCTTGAAGCGGGGATCTACGCTAAGGTGGTAGACAGCCAGGTCGGTCGGGATCCCGGGCATGTCCTCAACCGTCCACGCGAAGACCCGGGAGTACTCCCTGAGCAGGGCCTTCAGACCCTCCTTTTCCTCGGGAGGTAACGACGCTCCGATGCGGAGGACCCGATCAGGCCTATCCTCTCTCAAGGGGAACTCCTCGATCTCATCCTGGGTGCCCAACTGCCGGGCCTCCTTCCCCGGGATGTAGGGTTCCAATTTGGTCGTCTGGGCGACCACCTTTTCCTGTCCCCGGAGCATGGTCAAGTTGCAAGCTCTGGCCATTTCTGGATCTCCATGCACCTCGGTTATTCCTCGCGAGGTGGGAAATTTGACTTTGAGGTGGAGCGAAGAGGGAATAGCTCGAAGGGCGTTCAAAGCGGGCCGACCTAAGAACACATTGTACGGGGATTGTTGTTTGACCACCACGAAATTGACGGGAATGGTCCGGTAATTGGGCGCCTGTCCTACCGTGACCATCAGGGTGATCATCCCCTCCGGGTTGATGGGCGGCTCGGTGAAGCCCACCAGGGTTGTCCGAGCCGGGGTCAACTGCCCATCTTCCAAGTCGAACTCTTTGAACACTCAGTAGAACAGTATGTCCACCGCACTTCCTTAGTCGACGTACACTTTTTTCATCCGATAGTTGTTGGTTACGACGTCTATCACGATGGCCTCGTGGTTTCCTGACGCCAGGGGAACAGCGTCCTTCGGTCCGAAGGTGATCTCTTCGTCCATGCACAGGCGCTTCAGGGAATCATCCCCCTCGGGGGGAGGTCGCCTGTTCTTTCGAGCTGCATGGCTGTCCCCCCCGTGGGACCCCCAGCGATGGTATTTATCACCCCCGCCAAGTTCTGAGTGTCCTGGTCAGGGGAGCGGTCGCGAGGAATATCACGCCGCTCAGGGCGGTCGCGGCGCTGGCTCTCGCTCCTGTCCCCGCGGTAGGTACGTCATGGGTCCTGACCTGGTCGGCCTTACCGCACAAATCGTCCCACGAAGTCGCGCTGGATCAGATTCTCGATCTCCTTCCGCAGGGCCCAGCACCCCTCCTTATCATGCCCAACATCACGGTGGAAGGTGTGACGCCCCACATCTCCCTAAGGCGGATCAAAGGGTATCCGCGGACGCCTGCCCAGCTCACGCCAGGACTCAAGCAATTCCATTCAATTTAAAATCGAACTAAACACTTCGATGAGATCAACACGAATACAGTAATGCGGAAGCGTTCAAGCTTAACAAGTCACTTAATGTATCACCAGTACATCGGGTAGTCATGAAACGACTTAAATTCAAAGTACACATCAGGGCCCAAACTTTTCAAGTTTACAATTTCCAAAAGTACAACCCAAACCAGGGCCTAGTTAAAATATATAACAGGAGTCTTAACAAAAGTACAACGGATGATTCCTTCATATTTCTCCAAGATTCGGTCCTGTTAAGGAAAACAAAACTATAGGGTGAGCTAAACGCTCGTGAGGCCAAGAACACACATGCAAGCACTTAGCCAAATAACAATCCCAAGTTTAATAAATAAAATCACGTCTTTTCAACAATCAGTTATTCAAACAGGAAAAGTAATCAGAAACAATTCAAGGATATAGTAGCTCTCAGGAGCTAAATTCCACTCGCTCTGCCGATGACATTCGTATACCTTCCCGCATTAACCCTCCTGTCAACCGGGTCGGTATTTCCATTTCCGTAGATCACCACTTACTTCCCTCCGTCCACCGTACACCCCAAGGGCCCACAATGTCCATTATTGGGCGATACTCAACGAGTATGCCAAGCAAGACCTCTTATTAGGCCGAGCTTATATGTATCTCATGGCTCGCCCAAATCCCCGACCAAGCCCATTGCTGGCTCAAGTCTAAGGACGGCCTATGAGTTTGGGCGTCCCCCATTCATTTGAAAGTCGAGGAGGTTCACTCCAGCGACACAAGCATTCATGACATAACATTGCATTTCATTCATTCATTCAATACATTTCATTCATTCATTCGAAATTAGAACGAGTACGATAAAGTACGCACCCGCCCTTATTTTTAAAACTTTCAACAAATACCACAATAAGCAAGTATCAAATTTCACACACTTGACACTCACCGAGCAATTCAATAAGAATTATTTTCTGGGAGTTCAAGTGTCCACGGTGAGATCCTCTTGAAGGTCTCCTTGTGCGCCTGGCAATTAACAGTGGATAATCACACAATTAATCCACTTATCAAGAAGATTGTACACTAGTACAATCTAAGGATTATTTTGCAAAAAGGAACCTCAATTACACGTAAATCGAGGTTCAACTTGTCTTTTATTATGTACAATATTATTTGAGTTTATATCATGAAAATCGTGAGCAAAACATTTAAAAATATTAAAAGGATAAAGAGTTCTTGAGAAAACTCTATTTCTTTGAGATTGGAAAATTTTCAGTTTTACGATGAATCTTTGAAAAATCGTAACTCGCTCGGTATAAGTCGAGAATTGGAAAACTTTATACCGTTGGAAACCTTTTAGAAAGTACTATAAGTTCCTAGAAGACACTTTTCCATGAATCGAAGTGAAAAGTGGTCAAAAATGAGCTTGAAGACGCAGGGTTGGTTTCCATGGCAGAATTAAGTTGGATTTCGGCCAACTTTGGAAATTCGGCACGATTCACACGTTGCAAACCGGCCTCTGAAATTTGCAGCTCAATTAGTGTTGCAAGTGAGGTGTATAAAAAAACAAGCGGATCAAGAATCGGAGTTTCGAGTACCGAGATACGGTAGCTCAAAGTTGAGCAAATTCAAGACTGGATGAGAATTTTCCAGATTTGAACCTCTTACTTTAGTAATTTAATTGGGTATCGAAACGAACTTGAATTGGCACCAAAATTGGTAGTATTTGAATACTATATGGAAAGTATCTCTCTATCGAATTTCGGGGAAAAATACCTTCGGCAAGGTAGTTAATTAGCCAACCAAAGTTCAAGAAAAATCCTAAGGCAATCTGCCTTTGACTTTCATTTTCCAAATTTCCAATCGTTTAACCAAGAAGGTTATCCAACCATGGTTCATTTGTGAAATAAGGGTCTAAGATACATCCATGATACCTTTGGTAAGTGTTTAATATCAAGAACATCAACTAACAAGTTCACTCCAAAATTTTGTTCCAAACCAGTCCAACATTAGGGTTTTTCCAAAACAGAGCAGTCCACTTGTTTCAGTCACAACTCAGTCAATTTAACTCGAAATCGAGCATGGATTATGGCGTTGGAAAATACGTTCATAGGGGTAAAATATCACAGAAGAAATCATTCCCAAATTCGGTATCAATCTGGTTCAAAATCGGGCATCAAGTTGCTGCCTGTACACTTCATTCCAGATGAACAGAGCAACAGGACAGCGAACTTAAAACATTTGGTTCGTCTTGCTCACAAAGAATTAGAACGTGCATTATATACCAAATTAAATCCAGGAATGTCTAGTTTCCAACGCCACCAACGGTACATGATTTCGACATCCGAGGACAGAGTTATAGCCAAAATACTACCACTGGTCAGAATCATAAGCGAACAGTTTTCCAGATTGCTAGTTTCTCAAGAAAAATTCATTTGCTCAATCAAACCTCAATATTTTCCAATGAAATTTTTCAAACATCTAATACATCCTATAAACATCTAATTCAAGCCATTATTTCATTAAAAACTGGCCTTAAAATGGCCGAACATGTCAGGGGTAAAATCGGAAGTTTTTGCTTCTTACACCCAATGAAGTTTCTACTAATTACCCACCACTAATGCATCATTATAACCACTAAACCAACAATATAATCACCATCAATCATCACATCAGCAACAACAACCCAAGTGTGGGAATTCCAAGAGCCCACAATCACATTTTTACACCATACACAAGCTAACCAAATGCATGCATGAACTTAACAAGGTAAGATAGCTTCCAAACTTCAAGTTTTCAAGAGTGGATCATCACTTACTTTGGGTTGGTGTTCAAGCAGACATTTCGGCCCTCTAATGCACCAGAAAAACCGTGATTTCCAGCCCTTGTTTGCAGCTCAAAATGATCCTCAAGTGTCAAGCTAGGTGTGGTGCAAGTTTGGTTAAATTTGGAGATGATTTGGGGTGGTTTTGAGTGAGATTAGTGAGCAGAAATTTTGAAGCAAATGTGGTAGAGAGAGGAGAGTGTTTGGTCGGCTGTGAGGAGAGAGAAAATGGAGGGAAATCTGACTTCTTTTAGCTTCCAAGAGAAGGTGAAATAAGTGGTGGTAATTCACCCAAAAGTCAACTCTCATTAGGGGCCGTTTGGTGCGATTACGGCTCGATTTTCTCGCGCGTTTGGTTCACTAGCGCACTAAACCTCCAAGGCATATATATTCATGTAAATATTATTCACTCTTAATTGTCCCGAAATAAGGGTCTAAAGTCCCTCAATTGAAGTCGCGCGCGTGAAAACGCGTACCGTCAAATTTAACGTTATAACGCGAAACTTCCGAGAATTTCTTATAACGATTGCACTATTAACTATCACTTGAATATTTATTCATAAGATTACCTATTTTAGGACCATAGTACAAGTCTTCAATATTCCAAGCTTATTGTGCTACTACGCGGATAAAATCTCCAAGTACTATTCACTATTTTTACTAAACGCGCTCTAGGAAATTAATTTT